GATGAACAGTAACTTGTAGTGGACAATGTTTATAGCTACAATACCTTGTAGTGGGCAACTTTAAGTAAAAAATAAGCTATATCTTTTGTATATACCACTTTAGATAAATATTAATTTCATGAAACAGGAGAAACTGTCAATATTACATGACTGAACCTTCACCTGGTATACAATATATAAAAAAATCAATTTGCAATACCAAAATCATTTCACTAGTACATATTATGATTATAATCTTATTTTTATTATAATAAAATTATAATTATAACATGTACTAGTGGAATGATCTGGTATTGTAAATTAATTTTTTTATATGTTGTACACTAAATTAGTGTTGGTGGTAGAATTACTGAATTATAGCATTTTACTATATGGTAGAATTAATTATAGCACAAAGCTCAATTGCTATAAATATTATGTACTATAATGCCATAATGTTATAATGTTGTAATATTATAATACTATAGCAGATAGATCTTTGTATTGTAATAATATGATACTGTAATACTATAGCATTATAATTATAATAACATAGCTATGTAATACAATTATGCCAAACCAGTAATAGATAAATATTAGGCACTAAAAACTAGGAACTTAATTAGTGATCTTTGAATATATTATTACAATTATTATAACTTTAGGCACTGGACTTGAGTTTTTTTTTTTTTTTTTAAATTTTGGCAGTCTTGTCTTTACTTTATTAGGCTTTATAATATTATATTATGAAATATTAAAAAATTTTTCAAGAGGCTATTCCTTTTGATATCTAAATTACAAATATTAGCTCACCTAGTTATTCAATAAACACCCTGCTATAGTAAGTTTTATCTCCATATTAACTTGTCTTGCATTTGAATTCATTACTAGACTTGAGTTTTAAAAAGTTACTAAAATTATTATTATTTTTTTTTTCGGTATTAAGGTGAGGTCATGCCTTGTGACTTTATTATAAGCATATATTTTGTATATATTATATGATACAATTGTTATATACTATTATTAAGTACATTATGGCTCAGACAGGTCTTGACTACTATCTGCGACCTAAACCTACCAGAGAATTCCATATCCCACTTATGTGGTGTTCTCCCTCTTGTTCGTGTATTGCTACACTTTCAGCCCGGTATATCTAGCCATTTCGCCCACGTTCAGGTATAGTTACACGTACCCAAGTTTCAGCCAACTCTCTATAGAAGTTTGTTCTTTTCCTCATCAAGTAAGTAGTTGCGCCAGAGATGTTCCAAATCTGGTAAGACAATTTTTTTACCACAGGTCCCTTTGTATTCACCATATTACTCACCACTTCCAATTCTAGTTACCGCCCGGTTATCCTCCCAAACAAGATCCCCAATACCGCCTTAGGGGTTGTTGGTGCTACCTTGCCAATCGTGGATTTACACGCACAACCTTTGTGTAATAGAACCTTCTATAACAACCACTGTTACACATAGTGCCAACTATTCCACAATGAACCTCTTTCCGGAAATTCCTAATCCAAACTTGTATTTACTTGGACTTTCCACGGCAGATACTTCCAAATATTCATAGGTAAATGTACCTACTAGGACTTGAACCCGAAACCTGCTCGTGGAGAGTTGGGTGTCTAAACCACTAGGCCGCGAGATCCCAACCCTAAAGTTACTAAAATTATTAACCATTAATAATTTATAATTACTATGTAATTAGTCTCATAACTAGACGTGAGTACAAATATTCATAACAATAAGTAGCTATATTTTAATTAACTATATTTTGCTACTAAAATTTCTTAAAACTCTTATCACTTATTTTAATAACATTTTTGTCAAGATAATTTTGCAAATAATTTGAGTATTTACTATAGTAAGTATAATTATATAACAAATATATATATATTAAACATAAGATATTTAAATTTAGAATTATTATGTAAATTATCGAGGTGGATAATTTTAGCCGTTATCCACTTGATATTCACGTGACTTTAAATATTAATTTTTTTTTTTTTTATCGTTATTAATCAATTATCATTATCATTATTGTTATACTATTTTAACTGTGTGACAGATTTACTAGTTTTCTGTTGCCTTTATGTTCTTTTTTTTTTTATAGTACTTACCACTGCAACTACTAATAAGACACTATCCACTACTGTGCGATATTGCCCATCATAGAAAGTTGCTATTACAAGAAGTTGTCTGTCACAATCGTCGCCCACTACGAAGTTTCGCTTATTACAAACGTTTTCATAACAAAACGTGGCTTATTTTTTACTTAAAGTTGCCCACTACAAGGTATTGTAGCTATAAACATTGTCCACTACAAGTTACTGTTCATC